TCAAGGGTCAAGCCGGGAGGCACGAAACTCTGGGTTAATACAGGCCTTTCTGTCATCTGACTTTTAAATGAGGTATTATACAGTACGAAAATAAAAATATTTGACTATGTATGTGTATGTATTTCATGGTAAGATATCTTGCGGTTTCCTAGCTCTCTTTCCATGATAGTTCGGGTAACACGTTTACTAACTTATTGTAAATGGCCACGTGCCTTATTTGGCTATCATATCTAGCAACGTAGAACAGGACTCACATTTCTGTTCCTTACATGTTATTTTTTGACTCAATAAAGCCAATGACCAGGTTGAGTTTTCACAAAACCCAATTATCATCAATAACCCGAAAGAAATAAGGTCCCCTAATTCTTTAATGGCTCTTAACAATGAAGTCATTCTTAGAAATTAAACATTTTCGGTGTAAGTGGCTTTCTCCTCCCTTGGAGGATACTCTTGCTCTCTCATTGAAGTGCCATTCTTACAGGAATTCTGATCGCAGCTCTGCTTGCCATATGGTGTTTTTATTACTATTCAAAATTTGCTCAGAAGACTGTTGCATTGACTTTTGTGCAAAAGGGTGCCATCAGTGAACGCCAGGAGAGTCAGATGTCTGCCTTTAGAATATAATTTCCAGTTTTTCAAATACTTATGTGTTTTGATGCGGGGGCAATGTGACCAGAATTGTCCTGGACTGCTCTCATGAAAGTTAATGTGTAAAGAGACGCCATCCAGGGTGCACAGACAACATCCATGTTCTCCATCCGAGAACAGATCTTCCCTGTTGAAGTGGGTTCAAACTGCAGAGAACATGGAGTTAACGACATTCTGTAAATTTCAAGTGTGTATTGTTACCCACCCACATCTGTCTATACTACATTAAATTCACCACCAGAGTTTTGTCTCCTTTTTGCCCCAGGTCATGTGATGGAGCCAAGGTAAATGTTATTGCAGGATGGACATTACTTGAGCTGAGCCTGCCTTTTATTTTCCACCCAGGGCAATGGGCTTGAGTGAAAAGTTGCTGTCTGTCCTAGATGTTTACGGCCAATTCAGGTTTGCATCCACTGGGCCCATTTTCCACCCACTTTATGCCAGCTTTGTGTTTCTTAGGTGTCCATGGAACTTTCTAGATTGTCAAATTCGACAAGATCTCTTTTAGTATTAGGTAAATGCGAAGTTAAAAGTTCTGTGGTTTTCAAGGATAACTATAACATTATCAGAGGGCAATATAATTATGGTAATAATGTGGATTTGATTATGTAGATTACATTTGCCACAAATCTCTATGTTTTAAGGGTAGGCAAGTGAATTATTCATGCTTAAGAAATCTTGAGAAATAAAATTTAACTGTTCCACTGTACTTTACTTTGGAGACATTTCCTCACAATATAAAGTGACATTTGAACTAAAAATAAGACCATCCTGTGAGTTTCCTGAAAGGAGAATTCTTGAATTCTTAGATTTTTAAACTTTATTCTTAAAGTAAAAAAAATTTAAAAATCTCTTCTCCATATTCATCCTGAAAGAAGTGAGTCATAGTCATGGCTTGGGCTTTTCTAAGAATTGTCCTTAGTAAAACCAAAGCGTCGTTCACAAACACAAGCAGCAGTCTGCGTCACTGTCACTGCCTCGTCCCATTTCCTTTCCCTGCTCCCGTCCCTGGGCTCTCGTTTCTCCCTTTTATTGGGCTGCCCACCATCACTGCCCTTTCAGCAAGCTCCGTCTGGTGACATGTGTCCCTTTAGGTCCCTCTGTCTGAGGGACAGCCCTCTGTCTATTGCTTGGAACGCGTGGGATGTGGGTCCCTGAGTTCTGACATGCTGAGCTTCATCTGATCTGCTTTAATGTGCTCTCTGTCAACCCCATTGGGTTATTTCCTTTTTCACTTCTGACACTGAGTAAATGTCCCTTTCGTCTCTCCAGTAACTGTTGGCTTCATGCTATCTCAGCCCTCAACTTCAGTGTTTCTCATCTCCGTCACAACCTCCCTGGCCCGACTTCAACCCTCCATGGTTCTTGTTCTATGGAAAGATCAACCATGACAAACGTTGCTTATTATCCAGGCAACTGTTGGACAAAAATACAGCCATGCTCCTCTCCTTCAGGAAACCCACTTTTACCATTTCAAGCATTTTGTGTCCTGTGAGGGGTGCTAGTTTTTGAAATTCTCTGTTAGAAATCCATTTGAAAGAGACTCCAAGCAATGAAAAGCCACTATAATCCCCATTTATCTCTGGGGTATAAAAACACTTTAAAAGTCACAGGCCATGTCATCTGACAAGCTTTGCATTTCTTGCTTTTCCTTACTATGCCACAACATCACCTTTGCTTTTTTTTTCTCGACTCGCTTTCCTCTGGCCTTTTTTTTTTTTCCTTTTTCTCCCTCACCATCCACATATGGACATTTATCCACAAATATCACAAATATTTCAGTTTTCTTCCTCCTTTACTCTCCTCTTTCTCTGTCTCCAAATGATTCTGTCTTTATCACGACTCTTCTTGTTCAGCTCTAATTTTCTTTTTCTTTTTTTAAAAAGTTTATTTAGACATATAGAACTGGGGTATAGGCCAGAGGTGCTGGGGTAGTGAGAGGATTCACCAGAAACAGAGTGGGGAGCAGAACAGGCAGATCAAAGAAGTACACAGTGGAGGGGAGCAGCTGGTGAGACAGGAGAAGTCTGCTGCTCCATGTGGGTCACCTCCGGGGCTGGGGATCGAACTGGCACTAAAGAGGCTGCGGCCAGCCTGCAGTGCTGCGTCCTAACCCATTGCCCCACCAGAGAGGGCCTCAGCTCCAATTTTCAATAACCAAAAACTCTCAAACCTCCATTCTCTTCTGAGTTTTAGTCTCACCTTCTGAATTGTTTAATGAATAATGAAGGGAATGATTTCAGTATAATC